CTTCAAGCTATTTTCTGCCATCTGTCTCTGTTTGATGAGCAAACTGTAACGCAGAGCAATTGGTGTGAGACAGATGTCTGAAGTGTTATGAGTGACAACACTACTAGCCAGGTAGAGGAAGACCCACTTCTTCAGACAGGTGTGAGGCGGAAGAGGGAAAGCTCCAATGCTTGGAAGAGACAGATGTGGAGTCGTTGTAGGTCAAGGACTAAAGATGTGTGACACAAAGTTGGTAGAAAAAGGAAGGATCGGATGCAGCAAAAGCTTTCTATAAGGCTGAGACTCAAGGGAGACAGGCTAGTTCAAGGTATGTAAGAGAGAGGTTTAGTGGTGGCGAAGAGGCAGACTAAAGAGCTGGTGTAACACACGTTGGTGAAGAAGGGAAGGAGGATGCAGCAAAGACTTTTTATATGGCTGAGACTCAAGGGAGACAAGCTAGTTTAGGGTAGGTAAAAGAGAAAACTCAGCGGTGGTGAAGAGGCAGACTTCGAGGTCTTTATAGGGTATGGTGTTGTGACGATGGTTTCAAAGTGAAGTTGGATTAGGTTACTGTGAGACTGACACTAGAAAGCAGATTGTGTACAGATGGATGTGTTGAAAGACGAAGGTAAAGGCAGATATAAACATAGAGGTTATTTGGAGTGGTGAATGAACGCGCCTCAATGCTCGAGGAATTATGCTCCGATTTTCTATTTGCTGGCAAGCGACTGAAATATTGATCCAGCTATGTATAGATTCTCGTAGAAGCATTACACCTAGAAAGACCTACTGGTAGCACTTCAATATGTTTAGGGGGCATATAAGCTAGCAGAAAGAAGTTGTAGGGGTTGTCTAAAGGAAAGGTCAGAGATGATTATAGGGAAGTACGTATGCTCCGATTTAAATGGGTAGACCTATGATAAAGGCGTCAAGACCACTCTTGTATACCATTTGATATTACAAGACAAGATAAGTAGATAGAACAATCCAGCTTGCTTGAGGAGATCATGAGCCTACTAGATCGTGAGTTACCAGCTGAAATTGCCCAATTTGAGGATGTGACGCGTGACCACTCCTGACAGTCATCGCGATGCAGAATTGTCTGAAAGGCTCGCTAGCTTGAAGAAAGGAAGAATTAATGCCTGAAAGCCTGGCAAGGCTGTATAAAACCAGCCGAGTAGGCTGCGTGGATAACGCTGCCTGTTATCCGTCAGCGCTCCGCCAAACAGACGCGGAATACTCCACGCCGTTGAGCGATAGGTCTGCATGCTGGATAGAACTGTCCCTAAAGCTTTGAAGCTAGCGCTGTAAGATTCCAGCCATTGACAATGTTGTCAGTGATCTGCCTTGAAATCTCAACCTAACGACCCCCTGAACATGCTCCAATAACCCGGCGCTGTTCAGCGATAGGTCTGCATGCTTGATAGAGCTGTCGCTAAAACTTTGAAGCTGGCGCTGTAGGATTTCAGCCTTTAACAGTGTTGTCAGTAATGTGCCTTACGAGCTCGAATAAACGACCCTCTGAACATACTCCAACACCTCCGCGCCGTTCAGAAATAGGTCTACATGCTTAGTAGAGCCGTCGCTAAAACTTTGGAGCTGGCGCTGTAACATTCCAGTGACTACTGATGTTGTGAAGTGTTGAGTGGTGAAAAGCTGCGGAAGCCGGAACCAAAAGGTCCGAGCCGCGGCAGATGCACTGATACAGTAACACCGCGTCGACGTTCACAGCCAGCACTCACAACGTCCTCGAGCAGCTTCGTGGCTATCCCAGCTGATTCCGATACTGTTTCTATCTTGCATGGATGTGTATCGCCATGAGAGCAGTTCCGCACCTGGCGTCGATGGCTGTCCCTCACCCACAGCGCAAGTCCGCACTAAGCGGAAGTCCGCACCCACCAAGCGGCGCTCTCCAGCAGAGACGTGGGTGGGATGACCGAGATGATAGCGAGCTCGGGGACCCAGTGTCTCTTCGTGTCAACTAATAAAGGGACGCGTCATTGCCGTCTCCGATATTAGGCTCCAATCTTGTTCAAAACACGCACCCAACCTAGAGCATCTGCCATCTAAAGCTTTCAGGAACCGCAACAATGGCAGACAAACATCTCAGTAGGGGTCATACACCGCATAAATCTATATCTTGCTAATAGCTATATAAGTCCCAGCGACCGTTCGTGAGGCGTTCCGCATCTTCGCGTCGGACACGTCGCTCCTTGCCCTTCCTCTCCTCCTTTCAGAGGGAGAAGTGCAAGCCCTGCCCGCCATTTCATACCCGAACGACCCCAGCGCAACTTTCCAGGACGCCCTCACCCGCCTCGAGGATGTTGTCAAGCCGAGAACTCCCGCCTATATCCTTCTTCGACGGGACGACCTACTGTCGGCAATAACCTACGTGCCATACCTTGCCAAGGCGGAATCTCGGCAACTATATCTCGACAACAGGCACAAGTTGGTACACAGTCTTGGAGAAGAGCACTTTGCTGCCTCGTTCATATCCAAGGAGGTTGCTGAGATCACGGATGCGCGATCGTGGGACGAACGGGATGGGCATGGCGAATCGTGGAATGCCGCGTCGGAGAAGACAGAAGAGTGCGAGGCATGCGACACGGGGGAGGCACACACACACCTAGTCAAGGATGCTGGTTACAAGCAGAACAAGTGTCGACTCTGCGACCGTCGAATGAAGAATAAGATTGAGCAGAGTGCCCTGGATGCACTTAGGAATATGCACGACGCTGGTGACTGCGTACAGATCGTACGTTACTTTCCATCTGGACTAACTACCATCACTAACGCATCCGCAGTCAGTCAATATACCCACGGAGACTTTGCAGCTCAACTTCAGCGAGAAAGGCGTAAGCCCGGCGGGAGTGGCCACCAAGCTTCCCGCTGAACACCCAAGCTTCACCTTCTACCGCAACCCCGACACCCAGCTACTGTACTTCATCTTTTGCTCACCGGACTGCGCACCCGTGCGAGAGCGCATGGGCCATACCCTGGCAATCCCGCCGCTCATCAACATCATCGCGAAAGATAACGGTGTCAATGTGGACCAGAAAATCGAAATACACGATGGAGATAACTTGGACTTTGCTCGGAAGGACGAGCGCATTGGCAAGTACCGCTCCTTATATATGCGCAATGAGTTCGTGGGCACTGAGTCTACATGGGAGAAGATGGACGAGTATCAGAAGGTTCTGGATTCGGTGTGATTGGAGAAGCACGTTTATCCTCTCGCCAGTATAAGAGTTTTCAGCAAAGCGTCATTGGTTTACTTCTACCTCTACACTTAAACAAGGTCTACATCTCATGTGTCCTGTCCTATCTCATTCCCTATCGAAGCCTCTCGTCTATGTCTACGACCTCCAAAGGCTACCTAGCTAGACTGTGTAGCACGTCTCACTCCCGAACACCACTGTCTCTAATCCCTCATCCACCCCCTTCTAGTAGGCGTTCCCATCGTCGCGCTTGATTCCTGAGCCATCATACTCGATCCCTGGACTCCACATGGATCCTTCAAGTCCGTCCTCGCGATCCATATATTCCCTAGCACATGCACTTCCGACTCGTTCGACACGTTTGATTGCACCATAGTGATGATACGGTGCTTCCCCAGAATACTGTCCGAAGCCTCGCCTTGTTCTGGCACGACGTTCACGTTGGTTATGTTTCCGTTGCGGAACGCCTGCATAGTGCTGGTGACCCACCTCGCAAGTTCAGCTCTTGCAGTCACTTCGCTATGGGCGATACATAAGAGTTGCGTCTCCAAACTTGGGCTGCCCCCGGGGTTGTCCCTCGACTTGTAGTTGCGGATGATGCCGTACGCTACTGGTGCGCTTTGTGGTGTGAAGTCCGTTGGGTGGGGGAAGAAGCCAATGGGTTGTTGGGAGCCTGCGCTTGCACGGCTGGGCGAGAAACCGCTGGGTTGAGGTGGGTTTTGCGTTGGCTGGCCGAGCGAAAAGCCACTTGAATGCTGTGGGCTCTGCGTTGAGTGACCGGGAGACGAACCGCTTGGCTGCTAGGGGTTCTGATTCGGGCGGATAGGTGAAAAACCGCTGGGCGGCTGGTAGGGAGGAGATCGAACCATGGTGATTTGATAGGAGTCTAGCGAACGCTTGTGTGTCTGAGGGTATGTTGGAGAAGTCACCTCTTAAGTATGCGTTCGGGTCGATGCTTGTGTCAATGTGGAGCATGACTAGACGATTGTTGGACAAACACAAAGTATATACGCGTGCCAGACCCTGTGGTGATTGCCCTGGTATCATCCACTCACGCAAATGTCACATGGAAACACGATTGACTACATGGGAATACGTCACGCTTACTGAATCCTTAAGCCCCCATGAAGTCCTCCCAGAAGTTTCCCCCAAAACGTGTTTCAACAAGCCTCTCGCCCGCAGCAGCAGCGCCCACCCTCGGACACGCATCAATCTGCGCCCGCACAATCCAAAACAGCACTTTAAAGTCCCAATCATCATCTACGTCGAGATCCCCATGAGTGCCCACCCAGACCATTCGGAAAGCGCCTAGAGGGACCGGCTGGACTTCTTTATGGTCGAAGTCATCCCGCTTGGCTTTCTCCGCGGTAACCATGGCGTTGAGTGCGAGTCTGGCGGCGTCGAGGGTGTGGTATACGTGGAAGGAGCGGCCTTCGTGGAGGCGGTAGCCGAGGAGGTCGGTGAGGAGGATGGGGTGGAGGATGTCTTCGCGGACGAGGAGGTATGCGGATGGAGAAGCGGACATACTAGGTCTTGGACGAACTCGGGAGTCCTAATGGATGGGAAGAATAAGTTCGCAGGGCAAGCAAGTTCTATGCCATATATGTACAATCGCAAGTACCCCATCAGCAGGTCTACTCATCATGTGTGCATTGAGCGTGTGATCACTGGCTGTAAATGTCAGTAACTAGAGCAGAAAAACAGTAGCAGTCTCTCTATCATTTTTATAGGAGCACCAAAATCCCCTGAAGCCTTTCCATTCACCAAAAAGCTGGACCCATGCCTGGGCAAAAAAAGATTCTTTGAGACCGGTGGGGATCGAACCCACGCAGCTTTCGCTACTGGATCACATCGTCTTGAGACCAGCTCCATAACCACTCGGACACGGTCTCGCGGTTTGATTGATTATGAATTTTCACTAAATTAGTCGATATATATACTATAATTGCTATTGCAGGTGAGGTTGACTGTAGACAACGCTATAACTTCACCTCAGTAAGCAATATGACTTATTAGGGTGCTATGAGCGTTTGAGGATTGGTGGCTTGTGGTAAAACTCTGCGATGACGTGTTTTCACTCACGAGGTACAATACAAGAGATGTTCTACTAATTTATTTTCTACGTTTATACATCATCTCATTTATCGCGGCAATAGCCTTCACATCCAATGAAAAGACATGATAATGAGACTACTAGCTTTTGGTAGTCCTTTGACGTCTACTAGATAGTCACCTGACCCGCACATCTACTCAGTTTTCCAAGGTCGGGACAGGTTTTTCTCAAGCCGGCCCCGGGAGATCCAAATCATCATCTTCCGGCCGTTCCGGCCAATACACTCTTGTTTTTACCCCCTCCACGATTGCTATCAGCCGTGTTCTGGACTGATTACTCCAAACTTTTGCGACGATCTTTTTACGCTCAACGACAGGAGGATCGCAAATCCTTTCTTTCTAGTCATTGCGCAGCTTGTCCAATGTGCGATGAACAAGACATAGAGCTGCCTCATCATCAATAGCTACTCGCATCGTTTCTCTGTTCATAATTATCTCCAAACCTAATGGAGATAACTTGCTGTTGCGAAGCGGTGTGTAGCTGTAGTCAACGACCCAGACACACCGTGGTGGAGGTATATCGGGTTGGTTACCGGCCGCTTTTGTTCGGTAGCGGCGCATGTCGAGGTGGAAAATAACGGCGACATGAATACAGAGGGAGAGAATACCCTTTATAACTCTGTCAACTGTTCGATCGTAAAAACCATGTTTTCAACGCAAAATGTTACAGTTCCCTTGTGTTCTAATGCTGATCAACGGTAATGATCACGGGAAGCAGCTCAGGAGATCGGAATATCACCCTTATACAAGCTAACAAGCTCTCCTGATATGGCTTTCGTCATTCACTGGGTCAGATGGCTACTTGGCTTCATCTTTGCATCTGTTTGTTATCCGGATCATAGAGTCACGAGGCTGTGGTGACCTTCCATACTGGTTTGGAGTATCTCACGTGCTCTTAAATACTTGGCACAAAGTTGACACGCCGTAAATCTAGCAATCGCAAAGAAGCATCATGTGTGTCGACCCCCATGAACAAATATCTCGCCTATGAATATACGACAGCCCTTCTTCCTCACTTCCCTTTCACAATCCGTTCACCCTTGATTTTCGAGGTATGTCTGCTCTCGAGCCCGCATCGAAGATGTCACACGTCTACTCTATGGCCTTTCATACCACGGATAACGGAAGTCCTGTGGTACACGATCTCGGCGCTGCGCTCACGCAAGAAATTGCAATCTCCATATTCCGCGAACTCGCAACTCAACTGCATGAGCTTAAGGGCTGGATCGCGCAAGAGGATCCGTACGACTAACCTTATAGCTACGGTATTGAACTTTATAGGTCCAAAGATCCGAGTTCAAGTAAAATTTTGCGTGGTCATATAGGCTACCTTCGCGCTATGCGGCTTGAGGTCAAGACGGAGGCTTGTATTAAAGATGCGGAGAAATGTCTTGAGTTTTCTATTAGCAAGAAAAACTCTGATTTTGGGCGTTACACCGCTCCTGTGAAGAAGTGAAAGGTTATGCAAAAGAAGAGAACTGAGTTGTTATGGAGCTGTGAAGGGATGAGCTAGACCGAATCAGAATAGGTCGAATATGTCACTTCTTACCGTAGTATTCTGCCGTGACTCGACATGGACTTGCCGCTGCTAAAAGTCCCATTGCATCCGGTGTAAGGTTTCCACGGACAGGACCCCGAGAAGAACTCAAGCAATTGGTCTGCATCCGGACCTGTTGCCGCATTCGCTGACCGGCCTGACTGGTTCTGCCCATTTGTGTCTTGCGGGTAATCATTCACCCTACAGGATATATTATGTGATCATGTCACTTTATTTCACGGAAGACAAACTGTGTCTACCATCGAAGATGACCCCTTGGAAGACGGCACTTACAAGGTGCCCTGTACTTACGCTGCGAGTGGGCTCGTAAAATGTGGAAAGCTGCACCAAACTTGTCGCGCTGCCGGCATGAATTGCAAACACCGCGACATAAAGTCACTAAAGATCGCCAAGCCACACCCCTCCACTTCCTCATTCGCAAGCGACTCCGCCGACTCGCGAACATGTTCGCCGTCCGAGTCGTACACAGATTCGTCGTCTGAGTTGTCACTAGACTCGCAAACAAACTCGCTCTCAAAATCTTACATCGTCGTCAAGGTTGTCGTAGCTGCCGGGTTTTTGCTTGATACCTCTGTGTTCAGCGTCGTCCACTATCGTCTCATCGGCGAGATCATTGATCAGTGCGAGACGATTGACGGGGCGGAGTGGTCCAGCGTTGTGTGTGTGGGATTGCTCGACTTTGAGCGGGCGGAATAGTCCAGCGTTGCGTGTACGGGACTGTTCGACTTTGAACGGGCGGCTTAGTCCAGCGTTGAGTGGGCGGAGTAGTCCAGCGTTGCATGGGGGAGGGTGTTCAGTCTTGACTAGGCGGAGTGATCCATCGTTGCGTGGTGGGGACTGCTCAGCCTTGAGTAAGAGAGACTGTTGTCTAATGTCCGGTCAGCTTCAGAAAGACCGATAGCAACCTGGGTTCGTCAAGCAAACTAATCCTGTGTCATTCACTAGGATGTTTCTTCTAGGATAGTGACTTCTTGCAGATTCATATGAGTTTTCATACTCGCTGGCATCTGTACGAAGAAGATTAGTCCAGCCGCAAAGGCAATCTTGGCCAAAATCGAGATCGAAATAGGTGAGTATGGGTTTCGTGTTCCGACGCTTCGCTAACTACACTTCTACTGCAGGTTAATTCTGATATTATGGATACCTGTGTAATGTGCAACCTTCCGAAGTCCTTAGAGGCGATGAGCCAAGGCAGATAGGTTGATATCATCTTGACCATCTGACTTTATGAATTAGACTAAAGGAATAACTTGCTACGTGCAATAAAAGCCTACGCCATGCGGCTTGGAAACAATTATATCATGCTCTGAATCCGAGGTCAAGCCTTCTTCAAATGTTGCACTTGCTCGCATCGACTTGGATATACTGAGCCTCGATGCGGCCAAGCTGCTCCGCTTGATTGTTGGTCAAGGCATCCATAGCCTGTTTTGCAAGATTGAAGCCGTTGATGGTTTGATCGATGGCCAGCACGTAGATAGTCTGATTGTTGTACGTAACCGAGTAGCAGGTTCCACACTGCAAGGGAATAATATTAGCGAATACATCGCGCGGAAGGGATACGAGGCCGAGTATTTACCATTGGGCTGTTCCATGCGGGAATTCCTTGGTATCCGCCAATGTAAGGGTACGTCGGAATGTCTTCTAGGGTCTGCCATCCGTATTTCGTCATGAGGCCGTTTACGCCATTAGAACATGCCAGTGCTGAGAGTGAGCGCTCGGGTAGGTCATAGCCGGGGTCATATGAAACTGCTCCTGAGGTTAGCAGCATTCGCGAAGAAGAGCTCCCTCGAAGAAGGGCTTCCTTATAGTGCGTACCAGAGATGGCGGAGGCAAGGCTGGAAAAGCCGATCGCGGTGGCTGACAAAACACTGGAGAACTTCATGTGTGTGTTTTGTGAGGTGGATAGCTGGTGAACGACGTGAGACTTGTTGGAATAAGAGCTCAAATGTTGTTGGACATGGAGGTAGGTGATTCTGCGTTGAGGAATGAAAGAGTTCTCCTAACAGCAGGCCTTCTTATAGTCGTACTCTAAATGCGCCCTTGCTCGAATCTAGGGGGTGCAAACCCGTCATCGCGCTTGCGCTGTAGATGAGGCAACGATGAGCACCAGCGGGCGTGGTCCAAGTCTATCCAATGTTACGGTGTCAGGGCCTGAAGGACAAACCGGTGCAAGTGGCGATGAAAAAGTGGCTCTCGCATGGTCTTTGGTATAAATGAGCTCATAGTACCAGCAAACACGAAGAACTCGTGATCAAGGTCGGAGTATTTTAGGATCGGTGTCATGGGAGTGGGTGGCACAGACGAGAACATCTTCCGAGGCTGACGGCTGGTTACATTAGGTTAGCTGTGTCAGGCAGTGTGCGACGGCGATCGATAAAGACCGCAGTATCGGGCCAACTCCAATGGAACGGTATGGTGGTAGTCTAGCGACCAACGGTGTGGCAAACTTTCTTCAATACGGACGAGGACCGGTGTAAAGACTTATCGCGCAGCTGAATGGATGCCGGGGAGGATGTTTGCTGATCAGGCAGCGAGCATAGCCCTGTGAACTGCCGAAGGTATCAATGTTATAGGTACTTTAAAAGCACAGCCCCTCGTCAGCTTGGCGTCAATATTATAACAATATCTGGACAGCTACGGAGTATTGGTAGGCCTAAACGACCCAGAAGAGATGGTCATCTGATAGATACCCATTCATGGGTACGTGGCACATACTGCTGGGACCGCGGTTGATTCCGCAGAGAGAGCGACATGTCTGGGACGTAATGTATTTCTTGAAGGCCTCGAGAAAGGCACCTGTACACTGTTCTTATTGTCGTGACTAGCAGGAATCGTAACGGGCCATAAATATGAGTTTGCAGTGAGGGGTCGGGTGAGGAGTTGCAAGGGGACCACCTCGGCTGGCTAAAAGGGAGAGAATGGTCCGTGCACTTTTGCTCTAGCTTCAATGGAACTAGCGTGAGTATCGGTCACGTCTCAGCTCCAGTCAGCGAAGTTTCAACTCCTTTATAACGACACCACAAACCCGTGAGGAACCACCTTGCCCAACCGTTTCGTTCGCCTTGGCCCTCAAACATTTACGCCCAGAGATCACGCGCTCTACCCTACGATCGGGACCAGGAGTGGCTGACCGCAGGCGCCCATCAGGACACCTCCAATCATCGCCCACTTCATCGCTAGCCGCGTGTTTCCCTAGCCTACCCTGGCCTGTTTCCGCGACAG